GAATTCACCGGAACATGAAGATCGCTCGGGATGACAGCGTCGCAAAACTCGGCTCGGACGACTAAAGTATGTCAGTCTATTTGTTAGTCGCCATTTCCGAGTTATTAGTTTACGCGATTTTTATCTTCGTTGTTTTGCCCCCAAATTCCCAGTGCTCGTAGGCAACCGTTGAAGGTGGTTGGATACAGTTTTCCTGAGCCTTGACCTTGACCTTGACCTTTTGCAGTCGAACTAGAGATTGAAGTCTGAAATAAGGGGCGCGGCATGGCAATCGCTGTACTCATGACGGAGGTAGCAGCGCGCGATCAGCGGAGCCCTATACATACATGTAAAATATGATAATAGAAACAGTAACCCATAAAACCGAGAACATTTAGTCTGTCACGTGACCGAACGTCCTTTTGTAAACGTTGCCATAGTAAACATGCAGAAACAATTGTATTACGAGCACAAATCTAGTCACAATGTAAGTAGAAGGGAAAGAGAAAAGGAAATGAGCATGCGCTATTGCATGCGCAACCTGGTAGTGGTAGGAAATCTAGGAGCAAAGTGTAGCTCCGCTTTTAAGATTGGCTAAATCCATATATTATCCTAATGCCAAGGGAAAATCCCGTTGAAAAATCTGGAACCGTCTCAGAAGGCTCTCGATAGATTTCGACTTTAAGGTAAGGCCTCACTGCTGAGTGATTGTTGAATTGAGGCCTCATTACTGAGAGAAATTAATTAATTTTTTTCTGTCAGCCACGCCATTACTCTGTTTACATGAAGAGCTCTAAATCAAGTCATATAGATTATATCTATTCGCTTTTCGTACGACAAATTTTCATTATGCACTCAGCTATCGCGCCAAATTTGAAACTAGTTCCGTGTATCGATAAAAAGCAGTTTAGCCACTCAAATTAAGAGTATTTTTTATTAAAATTTCTTGGATACTAAATGGAAGTGAGGTCCATTTATCTCTGAAATGACTCTAGACGATTTCTCCAAATATTCTTGACGTGTAATAAGACATTAATGCTTTAATTTGGAGGAGCTTTTCTGAAAATTCTATTAATTCATGATAAGTAGATGGTTGTGCGTTTTTTTTAAAAACTTACTTTAACACTTTTGTTTAATGATTTTCATCCCCAAAGATTGCGATA